CCTCCAGAGTGGGAATGTTCTTGCAGTGACCACTGACCAAAGGAGAGGTCCGTGCTGGGGGAGGGAGGCCCACATGCTGAGGGCACAGGAGACCTGCCTGGGGGCTGGGAGGATAGCCAAACACCTCCACTTTGGGGTTCTTCATGGTGCAGGAGATTGAACGGTTCATGAGGCGCCCAACCCGAAGCTCTGGTACACCCAGTTTGCCTTTCAGCATAGAGTCCTGTATGATAGGAAAACTGGGAGACTTGGGGATGGGTGAGAAGATGCTGAGGCCGGCTCGGAACTTCTTGATAGTACCAACTTGCCTTGAACCAACTGTGCCTCTTCTCCTGCTGAGTCTTCAAGAAATCGTTGCTGAGATGTTTCCATTGTTGGGATGTGAACATACCCAGGATCTTTTTCAACTGAAGACCTAGCCCAAACCCTTCTTTATTCGATGGCTGGAAAACCTCAATTGATGGTTCTGGTCCATCAAGGTACTGGGAGAGAGAAAATCTCAGCCTTAGCACAATAGGTTCTGTCCGGAGGACCTTCCAGGCTGTAGAGACTTCCTCATCGAGGAAGCTGATGTTGATGTGGAGGTCAATGTCCACGTCATCAATTGTTCCATATTCTCTGATAGATACAGAGTTCTCACTGTAGATCTCCTTTACAGCTTCTATGTCTGCATCAAGCTGTGGGTGTCGATACAAGTCAGCTGCACAGCTTCCCTGAACTCCATAGAGAAATTCCTCTGATTCATTATCTCCTTCTGAATCATCATCATTCCAGAACTGGCCTTTGATGTCCATTGGGTCAGTAGATCACTCACACTCCCAGGTCAGTGCTAGGCAGCACCCCTCCATACCACCAGCTGAACCCAAGCCAACGAGATGGGCATTTAAGAGGCCACAAAGGGAGACAAGAGAGCAGGTGATGTTAGGGGCTAAGTGATGATTAGCTGGAGATGGCAGGCTCTACTGTTGCACTGGCAATCTGTTACTGTCCTCAAGGTCTTTACATCTGTTGCTCCTCCTTCCTAGAATGCTCTTCATCCAGATATCCACATGGCTTGCTCCTTCTTTCTGATCTCAAAGGTCACCTTGACTATCCTTCAAGGACAATCGAGAACTGCAATATGAAGATCTGAGGGCTGGGTTTGAGAAATTTGAAAAGAAACAGTCAGGCGCTGATCTGGATGATCACAGAAGAGTAGAGAGGGAAGCACTAATGTCCAGCCTGGGTCGTCCTGGGCTGAGTGATAAGATGATGGCCGCATACACCAGAAATACCAATTTCCTTAAGATTTTTGTCACCGT